ACAGACAAACACACACTGGAACATACAAACACACAGACTGGATGAGCCATCCCAGACTCACAGCAGCCCAGTGGTTTTACATGGAGGGGCTAGCACATATCAAGAGTTTGGGCTCTAAAATAAGATTCAGGTTTACAGTCAGATTCCATATGAAAACATGCTTATCTTCCCTACATTTAATTTCCCTGTCTATAATAAGAAGATAATGTCTTATATGATTATTGCAGAAGATTAAATTCAAGTGGGAACTGCTTATTTTATGACCAATACAGTCAATAAATATTACTTCTGTATGGACAAATCATGCTCATGCCAATTTAAGCTCTGTGGTGGCTTGAATGAGAACTGTGCCCATAAGCTCACATATTTGAACACTTGAGCCCCACTGGCAGCACTGTTTGGGATGTGGAGCCTTGCTGAAGGAAGGAAGTCACTGGAGGCCTTAAGTCCCCTTCCAAGTCACTCTCTCAGCTCCCTGGGTGTGAATAGGATCAGCCATCTTTCTGCTCCTGTACCTGCTGCCATGCTCTCCCTGCCATTAGAAACTCTTAACCTCTCTGGAACCCAAGCCAAAATAAACTGTCTTCTATAAACTGCTCTTGGTCATGGTATTTTATTACAGCAACAGAGAAGAAACTGATACAAACTCTTTCCAATCATTACAACCTAAAGAACAATAAGGAGTTAGAAAGTTTACACAGTGTGCATGCATCCTGCATTTCAGATTTAACACCATAAAACAAGACCAGTCTCAAGCATTTAGAGAACCTTTAAATGATGATGTTGATAACATTAAGTCCCTATGCGATGAAGAACATTACTCAATGAGTGCTACTTCTAAGAAAAATTCCTGCTATACATTCCAGTCTTTTGAGATGAGTTCTGTTCCCCTAATTTTAGATATAGTATACGATGACACTCTCGAAATTTCTGATTCCTGATTCATAGTCTTCTCAATCAAAATGGTTGATTTTTAAAGAAGTAAATAACTTTAAAAGACTCACCCACATCATCATATGCTACACAGTTACAGAAAAAAAAAATTCAGAGGTGAAAAATCACAGAGAAATCTAGAAGTCATACCCTGAAGTCTACTGAACTTTCTATGAAGGTTGGTGCTTCTAATCTTAATAGGTCACATAAATTATCATCATTAGGTCACATTCAAGAAATTTAGATTTAGGGCTGGAGAGATGGCTCAGAGGTTAAAAGCACTAGCTGTTCTTCCAGGGGTCCTGAGTTCAACTCCCAGCGACCACATGGTGGCTCAAAGCCATCTACAATTCAATCTGGTGCCCTCTTCTGGCATGTAGGCAGAACACTGTATATGTAATAAATAAATAAATCTTAAAAAAAAAAAAAAGAAAGAAATTTAGATTTAAAAGCTAAGGAATTGGAGTGTTAGGACTGTACAGATCATTTGATCAAGATTGGACTCTTACTGCATAGCATCCTGCTGTCACAGAGTAAGTCCCAAGCTCCTTTATGTGCCAAGCAAAGAAATGTATGTGTGGGACACTAACAGAGCTGAATAAAGAACTGAATCCATAGGTGCCCTCTGCCAAATTCTCTATTTATAGATCAAATGAATTCCTTCTTCTGTGAAGGTCTACTCTAAAAAATGATCACAAAAAATGTAAGACACTTTTAAAGATAAACACAGGAAATAGAATTACTTTTCTCTTGAGAATTCTGCACTTGGTTGGTGACTGCTGGAAGCTCCTTCACAGATAAAGCCAGGGCAACTTCTAGGCCTCGCTGGAAGACCTTGTCATCTAAAGCCATCCTAAAATAGATGTGTGAAACAATGGGGTTTTAATTTCAATTAGAGCACTAATACCATTAAATCTAAAGTTCCAGATTTTCCTGTATTAGTACTTAAGAGCAGCTACTTTCCAAAAATGTTCCTAGCATGTCCTTGACTGACTTGAGACTCCTAAAACGTAGTGAGGTTGTGTTCTATACAGTTGTGGCAGGAGCAGCCTGCACCTCTGCTGACTACTGTTCTTGCAATTGTCCGTTTTCTTTACTCTCAGTTCTGCCTACAAAGCTCTGGTTTAATGTAAGACAGATTCAGTTCAAAAAATCACTCCCACCCAGAGAGCTCTTCATCTCATCCATCGCCGTGACAGATGTAACTCTTACAATAAATGTATTTGTACCTCTGTTCTCCCAATCTAGATTTTAACAAATATTTCACTACATACTGTGTAAAGACACTATCTTGGTGGGAATACTAAAAGTACTCTCAAGGTGTCTTCAAGGTGAATTAGGAAGATGGAGAAATAAGCCATACAAATAATTAGTCCCCAAAAGGCAGATTGTAAAGCCTTCCCGCTCAAGTTGACAAATAGTTCTAATGACTGTAACAGGAAAGCGCAAAGACAGATGAGGAAAAATTACAAAAGGGGAGAAAACCGAAATGTACCTTGAAGAACTATTATTTTTTAAGTAAATTATACTGGTGGGGATGAATATGGTCTTAATAATTCTATGTATGTATGAAACTCATAAGGTTTTATTGAGATATAATTCATGTATTATAAAATAAGTTTTCTTTCCCCTCCTCTTCTCCTTGAGAAAGGCATCCTGTATCCTAAGTTGCCCTCAAAACTTAGCAAAATATAACCTTGAACTTCTGGTCTTCCTGCTGAATAAAATCCAGGAACTCCTGTACAGAAGGCAAGAACTCTACCATTGAAGCTCCATCCACAGCCCCACTAAAACCCATCATTTTAAGGGAGATAATTCAGCAGCTTTCATTATCTTGGAGTTTGGAAAGCATCATCACCATCATTTAATTTTAGAACACTTCATTATCCACACCCATCAGCAGCCTGATTACCCTGGGCCTGCTGGTTTTATGTCAACTTGACATACTTTACAGTCATTTTGGAAGAGGGAACCTCAATTAAGAAAATGCCCTCAACAGATGGAACTCTGAGTAAGTTTGTGGTACATTTTCTTGATGTGGGAGGGCCCAACTCACTCTGGGCAGTGTCATATCTGGGCTTGTAATCCTGGGTACTGGGAGAAAGCAGGCTGAGTAAGTCATGAAGAGCGAGCCAGAAAGCAGCACTCCTCCATGGCCTCTGTATCAGCTCCTGACTCCAGGTTCCTGTCCTATCTTCTCTAAGTGACCATGCTGTGCAACTCTAAGCTGAAACCGTTCCCCTCCATTTTGCTTTTGCCCATGGTGTTTTAGCATGGCAGTAGAAACACTAACTGGGACATCATCACCCTTCTCTCAGTCCCAAACAACTAGTACTCCATCTTCTGTTTGCATGGATTAGTTTATTCTGGACACTTCACACAAATGGAACAATATGTAATATGTGGCGCTGTGCCTGGTGTGCAAAGTATGGCATTTCCAGGCTCATTCATATTACAGCATGTATCTGTTGGTTATTTTTTCTGGCTGTGCCCATGACAAGAGAACTCATTTTATTTAACCAATTGTTGACTGACAACCATCCAGTTGCTTTCCTGTTTTTAATACTATGAACATTGTTATAAACATTGACATGAAGTGGACATATTTTCAGTTTCCTTGGGTACTACGTCAGCCATGCTTAAAGCAGTCCTATGTTTTGCCGGGCGTTGGAGGCACACGCCTTTAATCCCAGCACTCGGGAGGCAGAGGCAGGCGGATCTCTGTGAGTTCAAGGCCAGCCTGGTCTCCATAGCGAGTGCCAGGATAGGCTCCAAAGCTACACAGAGAAACCCTGTCTTGAAAAACCAAAAAACAGTCCTATGTTTAATATAATGAAGATTGCTAATCTATTTACCTGGGTACCTGCACCCATTCTATAATCCCACCAATTCTACAACTGCCACATCTTCACTAACACTAACACCACCTAGTGGGTGAGAAGAATTATCACACTGCAGTTTCCCCTTTTGTTTCCCTGACAGCTAATGATGCCCTGAATCTTTTCATGTGTTTGCTGATTACTTCTGCACCTTTGGAGAAATGCTCATTCGGATTTTATATGTTGAAATTGGACTATCAGCCTTTTCACTGCAGAGCTTAAGTGTTTTTTATATACTTTGGATGCAAGTTACTTAAGTTGTATCTGCAAATGTTGTCTCCACCCCTTCCTTTCTGCACTATAATTTTGGGGTCTCTTAGGACTGCCTTCCCTTTCTTGGTACCAATGATGAGATGTCAGGGTTAGTCTAGACACTATAGGACCTTGTCTTTGTTGGACAGATCATGCAGGATAGTGAGAAAATATCTTTTATCTATTGGGACAAAATGGTTTAAAATGTTTGTTTTAAAACTGCCCTTACACTTATCCTTTCAACAAAGTAGCTTTGTTGAGATCTGAAGGGGCAGAGAGAGGTACAGGGTTAGTAACATCATTATTTAATGTTACGAAATGTTGTTAATAAAAAAAAACCCCAAACCCTGTTTTTTTCCTTTTATGTTTGTGAATTTATTTTTCAAGCCAGGATATCAGAAAGCACTAAATGGTACCTCTCTGTGCTGCAAACATCACTCACCACCCACTCAAATTCCCATTTAAGTTGAGGTACTGAATGAGCAAGTCTGACGGACTCCAGACATTTTCTGTCTTACCTCTCACCTTTTTTTAGGGACTTTTGCTGGTAGGATTTCTTCGTTTTGGAGATTCTTCAAGTTAGGTTTTGGTTTGTCTTGCTTTAACTCCTTTGGCATGGTTTTGGACTTTTTGTTTCTAGGCATGGTTGCCGCAATAAAATCATCTATTTTTGCATAAATTAAAAAGAAGGAAAATTATTTTCTTGGTAGCTAAAATTCATTTACCCACATTTTATGCATAATCACATTTAATTTCAATACCTTAAAAAAATCAATAAAACAATTTGTCTCTACTTTCACTCATCCATCTCAAGATGAATAGTGGCCTGTTTTTTAGAAATATCATCCCATCAAAATCCAATTCACTGCAAACTACAAAGGTAAATTAAGACAGTTCATAAATGTCAGACATAACAATTAACTAAAAACCTACAGAACCATTATGAAAATTGGAAGGAAATGATTTAACTAAACTCCACAATGTAGCCCAGCATGTTTACAAAGGTACATCAGTAGTAAAAAAACAAGCCTAAGGGAACAGAAAGCACCACTGACCAGCCCAAGTGGCTCCACATTGGCTGTCTATCTGATACCCACAGCCTTCCTCTGCTCCGATCAACTCTCCCAACCCACTGCTACTTCTCACAGCCCTTTCAAGACTCCTGTGGTCCTTCTCGGGATACTCAAAAAAAAAAAAAAAAACCCATGTATGACACACGAATGTAGGATCACATACTTTTAAAAACAATTAACATATTTCTTTCGCACTTCCACATACAGAAATATAATTTAGAATTTTTTGCACATTCCACCCCACCTAGTATCATGAACACAACTGGCAACCTGTAAGTACCTGGTCACATAGCTTTGACAGTGATAGAGGCTAAAAGTTATCTGCTATACAGTATTTTTCTCAAGTTGAAGACCCACTTAATGCAAGAGATTTCTCTGAACAGAGAAATTACTAAAGTGCTCGACTTAAAGGAAACTATGCTGGTGTGGAAAGGAAGTGTAATAACTTACTTCTAGGATAAGGTTATAGCTCAGTGGTAGAGTATTTACTAAGCACACGGGAAGCCCTGGGACTAATCGCCAGCACACATGGAGGAAAAAAGTATTCTACTACAAATACATAGTAACTTAATGAAATGTTTCTCAAACTTTGATCAAAGTTCTAACAACAAAGACAAACATAATACGGCAAAGCTTAAGCCTCCTAAGCTTTCAGAGTCTAATTTTTCCATATCTAACTCTGAGGAAATAAATTTCTCAATCTGTTAAGCAAAAGTAAAATGCTCTACTTACCATCAGAGTCACCACCAGAGTCCTCAAACTGTGAGTAATTGACTGGTTTTTTATTTCTATGATCAAGACAGAAAAATCTTCATTAATACAAATACTAACTTTTTACTTTCACCTTAAAGTTATTAATAGTCTTGAAGAAAGGAAAATGTGTTTGAAGTCTCCTAGAAGTACTTTAATCCAAAATATTATTTGCATTTAACACCAAGAACTTGGCATTAGCTGAAAAGCCAAAACCATACCTAATAGACATGATGTGGGAAAAAAATTAATTCAGGAAACCCCCAACATAAGGAGAACACAAATAATTATCAATTAAAACTTATATTCTGTTTAGTGGCTATTGGGCATTTATAAATTACTTTGTACTCGTTCTTTGTTTACATTATAAAGTATCTCTTCAGTTTTAGCATATTTTTTTTAAAAAAATCCCTTAGAGGTGGAGTCATGGTGGTTAAGAATATGTACTGCTCCTTTGGAGGACCTGAATCTGGTTCCCAGCATCCATGCCAGGCAGCCCACAACCACCTGTAACTCCAGCTCTAGGGGGTAAAAATCCTCTGGCTTCCTCTGGCATTTGCACTCATATACACATACCCACACAGACACACACAGACACAGAGACACACACACATACACCTAAAAACAAAATCAATATTTAAAAGAAATCTTTCCATAATACCAAATAATGTCTTTCTAATGGAATGGACACTTTAAAATAGTTTGTTCCTCCCGTCGTTGTAGGCAGAAGAAAAGGTTCTCAATGTGAAAAAAAGGATGATTCCCCCCTCTAGGAAAGTAATGCAAAGTTGTCCAGTTTTCCCTTCTGTTGTGTATTAAATGCCCCATATAAACAAGCTTGTTGTTTCCAGCTGCCTGCTCTTTCAAGCAAAAACAGAGTTCTGTCAAAGAGACTTGTCCAGTTGTGTGTCCTTTGGTGAACCACCGTGTGTGCCTTCCCACAGCCTCACACACCTTAAAGGAGGTGTCCATGCCACTCTCCCACCCTTCAGAGTTTAAACATTTGACAGCTGCAGGAAATACGACAGCATCTTTTAAAACTCTGGGACTGACAATTAGTAAATAAAACCAAAAGCCTCCTAAAAAAGGTAAGTACAAAAATCATCCACCACGTAGCTCAGTCCCCAAGTTGACAACCTTGATTCTGTCCTTGTCTCCACATCTCCATATCAGCTTGTCAGAGGTACCTAAACTCACCTGCTCCATCTCCACACAAACACTGTGTCAAGTCACAATCTGGTGATAAGTTAGCCTTCCACACTCCTGCTCCCACTCAGGTCTACCAACAGCCAGTGACCTTTATAAAAGTAAAGTCAGAATAACTCCCACCTGCCTATGCTGAAACTACTCATCTCCCATTGGTCTAGAATAAAATCCAAACTCCTTTCTCAAGCATGGCCAAGCTCCAGGGCCTTGGCTTCTACTTATCTACCGAGAATGCCTCTTAGGTTTTGTCTATTCTGAAGTAGGCCTTTCCTCTTTCCCACTGGGTGCTGACTTGGCCCCAGGCCCCGTCTTCCACGAGGGTAACCTCCAGCTCTTAGTACAGTACAAAGTGAATTCACTAAGTCTATTTTTGGTCGGCTGTGCAGTACTGGGGATAGAACCTCGGGCCTTTCATGTACTAGGCAATCACTCCACCCCCGGGCCATAGCTTCGGTTATATACTAAACGGGCGGATGGCAGCCGTGATCACGGACAGTAGATTGCAACCGTACAACGGAGAGCAGAGAGGACCTGGAGGTGCGTGACGGGTCACTACGACTCAAACGGGCCCTTCTGCCTAGGGAAGGGTTGGGGGCCATAAAACAGGCAACAGCTGCAAAGGGAGGCCGAGGGCGGGAAGCAGGATGCTGGGTCCGCCACTCCGCAGCGGGGGCTGGCGACGGTCCCCTCCTTCAGCCCCGAGCGACACCGGCCTCCGGCGTGCCCCCGCGCATCCCCCTGCCCCGCGGGACGTCACCAGCGACTCACCGGGTAGGGCGCACCATGGTGCCCGTCCTCAGGCCGCAGGCGCCGCGATCCGGAGCCGGAGAGCAGCTGCGGCGGTTTCAATTCCCGCCCAAAACCGGACGCGGCGCTCCCCGCCCCGCCGCGCCAGCCCGCCAATCAGCGCTCGCCTGCCGGAGGCGGCGCCTGCGTGCTGGGAAGAGCGCGCCTGCGCACACACACCTTCCCCCGGTGCACGGCGTTCCGGATCCTGTCGGCCCCGGCCCCGGGGTTGGATTGCCGCTGCGCTTTCGTCACGACGGCGATTTGGTACCGACCCTAGTACAGAGTCCAAAAGTAGTAACACCCCTCCAACTTTATAAGGACTAACTGGAAGAGCAACGGCATAAAGGGGCTCTTGGGTCGGAGTTTTCTTTGGGGTGTGAGGAAAGGGGAACCGAGAGTAGCGAATCTGCCACAGTGAATCTGCTGGCTCTACAAACAAGCACGAAGTCAGCTGATTTACCGGGCAGCTCGGCTTTGACAGCTCCAAGTCTGCTTCGGCTTCTGAGGAAAGAGGTGAGCCCATGCCAACCGCGAGGAAACCCCGTCACTGTGGAGGTCCCCGTGAGAGCACCTGTTACAGGCTCAGGGAACCCGAGCAGGTTTCCTGGGCACTGCCTAAAGAGCGGAAGTGCAGCTTGACGTTGACAGTTCACTTTACGGGGGGCACTGGGTGTGCAGGTTGCACGTCGGTCTGGCAGGGTGTAAGCACACCCAGAGACGAACCCGGAGATGTAAGCTGGCTTAAGATGAATTTATCCTGAGGTCGACGGACCCTCATAAGCCAATTAATAGCATGAAAATGTTTCTTTTTAATTTTGTTCTGTTGCATGCTTGTAATGCATTCTTGGTTACTCTTTCCTTCCCCTTCCGTATGCCCCTCCCACCCCTGCCAGCTTAGCATTGCTCCGAACCTTCGCATCCCTACCAGTGCGCTTTCCAGATTCTCGGGATTCTTGGTTTGGTTTTGTGACCCTTTTAACTTAACCAGACCAGATGTGTGAGCATTGGGTTGCAACTACTCTCTGGATCCTGGTGGGGGCACCAGTGAACACACAGCTCAAGACAATGACTCCCTTTCCCCTGATCTCCAGCAAAGCTTGGGTCCTTCTGAGTCCTCCCTTAGCTGCTGATGGGCCCTATTCTTATGCGGATCCAGTGCAGGCGTCCAAAGCTGCAGTGAGTTTATGACTGCAATGGCGGGGTCTTGCCCAGAAAGTGGCATTTTGTCGAACTTTGCTTTATCCTCTGGCTCCTGTATTTTTCCACTCCCTCTGCTGCCATGTTCCTTGAGCCTTCAAAACGGGTGCTATCAGTGTCTTGTTGGGGCTGAGCACTCTTGCGTCACTTCTTCTCAGCACCTTGTGTCACCATGAGTCTCTGAATTCACTACTGTTCGTTGGAAAGAGATACTTCTCTGAGTAAGGCTGAGAGTAGCATTGTCTATGGGTACCAATATTTAGAAGGTGGTTGAGTTGACTGTCACTCTAATTCAGCAGTGGTATTTAGGGTTCCTCCTAGGATCTGTGATTTTATGTGCTATGGGTTTTTGACCAGGATTACAGTACCAGGATTTGCTCCTATGGAGCCTGTAAGCATTATAGCTCAGATGGAAATGTATTCTGGCACTTGGGAGCCACAGAATACTGAATGTTACAGCTCAGATGGAAAGGTATTCTGGCAATGGGGAGCCAAGGAATACCACAGGATACAGTAAGCATAGCAACTTACAGCTCTGCTCCAGGGAAAGTCTTCCCCAGTGTAACAGCTCTGCTCCAGCAGGGGAGGGCTTCCCCAGCGAAAGTCCCCCAGACTGTAGTGTAACAACTCTGCTTTGCTAGGGGAAGGTTTCCCTGGGAAAGTGTTACAGCCCTGTGCCTCTTCTCTCTGCTCTGGTTCTGGTGAAAAGTTGTTATTTCCTGCACTACATTCTGGCAAAGGAAGGTCTCACCCAAACTTCATTCAAGAGATTTATTGGTGGCCACACACTGAACAGGCATAGGGTTTATATAGGACTTCTTAGGGGCGGAGTTTTCCAGGGAGAAGATTTCCAGGGTGGGGATTGGTCAGATTTCAGTTCCTGAGCTCAGATTGGCTAGATCTCGTGCTCAGGGATTGGTTGGTTTTCTGCTAGGTTCAGGGTCAGATTTGGCTCTGGTTTCTTTCACTGGTCTTTTTTTCCACCCCCTTTGGCTCTAATTTTAGGGCCAGGGCATATTTCTTTCACTGGCTCTGACTCTAGGGTTAAAGTGTGTTTCTTTGGACTAGTTTCAGGGTGCATCTCTTTGGCTCTGGTTGCAGGGCCAAAGTGTGTTTTCCCTGCAGAGCCAACCTCAAATCCAAACAGAACAAATTGGATACTCTCACAACAATGAGAGTGCACAGGTGGGCACATCTTGCCTGGCAAGTTAATATAGTTCACAGCTGGGTGAGAACTTTAATAACATTTCTGCCACAGCAGCCTGCATAGTATCTTCCAGGACTATAAAAGCTAGCCAGCAGAGAGGAAATGTCCAGCCGGAGTTGCAACTGGATTTCTCTGTATCATCAACTGAGCTGTGCATTGTCTTTAGCAATAGAGTTCATCATCTTGTTTTTGTGGGCAACCAAGAACAATGACAAGAAGCTGTATTGTATTTTGGGGAGCTTCAGATATGTGTGTGTATATACGTACATACATACATGCATACATGATCTTTCTTTCTTTCTTTCTTTCTTTCTTTCTTTCTTTCTGCTGTTTAAAAAAAGCTTTGTTTTTACTTGGTCCAAGACTTGGGAGGGGCTCCAGGGTGGTTACAAAACTGCCTAGTGGCTTGAGAGGTTCGGGTGAAAGTCCTGAGGCTGGCTTGTGCAGAGCAGAGGAGGGAGCCCCTTGGAAGGCAAGGCCTCCTAGTCATGCTTGAGAGTGAGCCGGTCAGAGAGATACTCACCCAGAGATGGCTGTGGCCCAGCCAGCTACGGAGACCGGTCAGGTGGTTGCCTGCCTTCTTGATGAGCTTCACCTCCTCATCCAGGAAGTGGTTTTCCAGGAAGTCACAGTCATGGGGATCTGTGCAAACAGAACCCAGGGAATGAAGACCCAAGAGGGCCTGGTTCAGGTTCTTCTCCAGAGCCAAGGCCTGGAACTTCCATGGCCTCCTGGGTTTTGCCCCACTCATGTTGAGATGGCGTCTGCACCTCCTGGAAGAGTGTGGGAGGAGGGGAGAAGGGGCAGTGGGATCGATCGATCGTTCTGAAACTTGAGGAGACACTTGGTGCCCTCACGCTTCTTGGCCAATTCTCAGAAGAAGTGGCCTACACCCACCAGAGCCACGTCATCCCGATCAAAATAGTAGCCCAGAGGGAGGTAGTGTAGGAGGCCCGGCCTGCAGGTGCAAGTTGACCAGGAAGTTCATGGCAGCTTCCACTTTGGTGGAATAATTCTAATGAATCTGGGAGGTGATGTCTGATTGGCAATATGGAGCTAACGGCAAAGAGGAGGTGCTGGCTGGTCCTAGGAGTCGAGGGCAGTGAGGAGATGGTCCCAACAGCTGTGACTGGAGAGACTGAAAATCAAGCTGGAAGCTAACAAAGGAGTCCCTGGGTCTGTTCCATCCAAACACTGTTGAAGCAAGACACAGATCCACAGGACCCCTGAGGTGCTGCTCTGATAGACATGCTTAAAAAAAAAAAAAAGGTTACTATGCTTTAGGTAGAAGGCCGCTGAGGAGACTTTTAAGGGATGTTTATTCCTACTCTCTTCACTACATTTTCTCTTCTCTGAATAGTGTCCGGTTTGCCTTGTGGGCAGCGCCATGTATGGTCACTTCTCTATATTTGCTTCCTGCTTGGAGGTCTTTCATGTGTTCTCATACCCTTTTCCCATCACATCCCATGACCACCAAATCTAATATCTTAAAGATTCCACAGGGCCTCTGTTGTGCTGGATGCTTTACCAGTTCCGGAAGCTCTACACCCACATTCCCTGGTATCTCTTCCTAAGGATCTTCTTGCCCTCATCCCCATTCCTTCCCTCAGATTAAATAGTTTTTATTCCTACCTAGGAATAAAAGTACTTTCCGAGCATATTGTTGCCCATAAATTAACTTTAAAATAACTTTTCATTTAAAAGAATAAGCATTTTATTTTTGCCATAAAGATTAATGTGCAGGAACAAACAGGAAAAACTCAAATAGGCTGGTTGTGGTGGTGCACACCTATAATCCCAGTTCTTGGGGGTCAGTGGGGATGCTGAGGCAGGAGTATTAAATGAAGTTGGCCTGGGCTACATACTGAGTCCTATGCTATCCTGGGCTGCATAGTGAGAACATGGGGGCGCTGAGGCAGAAAGATTAAATATTTGAAGTTACCCTGGGCTACATAGTAAGTCCTAAGCTCTCCTGGCCTTAGACAGTGAGAACATGTCTAAAATGAAACGGCAGTAAACTAGAAATTGGAATAGTTGGTTCAGAACCGCATAGGTGCAGTCTCAGTGTGCCACTGGGCTGTGTTTTAGAGGTGTTGCAGCAAGAAGGAAACATGTTTCCTGTGGATGTTTGACTCGTGGCTCTTTTTTTGTTCATTCTGCAGAAATCCTGCTGAAGAATATGAAGAAAAACCGAGAAAGATTCTGCAACAAGGAAAGAGAATTCGTGTACAAATTCAAAGCAGGAAGTGAGTGCTTGGAGCTGAGAGTGCCCCTCAGGTTCCCTGTGGACGAGAACACCAGCCATTTGCACGGACGTTTGATGCTGCTGCACAGTTTGCCCTGCTTCGTAGAGAGTGGTGAGGACTGACTCTCTTTTGAGTTCCTGCAGTCTCTGTCACTGGATGTTTCCTAGTAGAACAGATTCTTGAGCTTGGGATGTGACCTGAGGGATTGCACCACTGAATGTTAGGATGGTGAAAAATAATGGCAAGAGGAAAAGCTTCTCAAACACGAGTGACCAAAGGTGAACTCAAAATCAGATGCCCAGTGGGTCCACGGTGCAGGCAGCTTGTACGCTTTGTATTGCTGATGCCACCTCCAGGGAGTGCTGCCCACAGTTCCTGGCTCAGACTCGAGATTGCTGTTAGGAACTGCAGTGCTTTTGCTATGCGTACAGTTTTCTGTTATTGTATAAGTAATGGCTTAATTA